GCGGGACGAGAGGGAGCTAGGAGCTGCAATGGCGGGAGGAGACGAGGTGAAGCTGCTGGGGAACTGGGCGAGCCCGTACGTGGCCAGGGTGAGGCTGGCGCTGCACCTCAAGGGCGTGCCCTACGAGTACGTGGAGGAGGACCTTGCCGACAAGAGCGAACTGCTCCTCCGCTCCAACCCCGTCCACAAGGCGGTGCCGGTGCTCATCCACGGCGGCAAGCCCGTCTGCGAGTCCCGGGTCATCGTACAGTACATCGACGAGGCCTTCGCCTCCGCCGGCGCCGGCCCGCCCCTCCTCCACGCCAACCCCCGCGAGCGCGCCGCCGCCCGCTTCTGGGCCGTCTTCGTGGACGACGAGCTGCTGGCGCCGTGGGGGATGGTCATGCGGTCGGGGACGGACGAGGAGAGGGCGGAGTGGACGAGGCGGACCGTCGCGGCGGTGGAGACGCTGGAGGGGGCCCTGGGGGAGCGCTCCGAGGAGGACGGGGAGGGGTTCTTCGGCGGCGACCGCGTCGGTTACGTCGACATCCTGCTCGGCGGCATGGTCCCGTGGGTGCGCGTCACCGAGAGGCTCTCCGGCCACAACTTCTTTGATGCTAGCACGGCCCCGCTGCTGGCGGCGTGGATGGAGCGCTTCGGCGAGCTGGACGCTGCCAGGGCCGTCTTCCAGGACGTTGACCGCCTCGTGGAGTACGCCGGGACGATACAGGCACGGGCGCACGGCTAGCCGCCGAGGCTGGAACTGCAAGCAACTGATATACCTTGTCTGCTATGGTGGTCGTTGTGGTTGATGCAAGTATACAAATTACATGCTCAGGGTTTATCTCTCTTTTCACATAAATAAATAAAATCAAATGACATAGAACTCTTGATGAATGGCATTTTTATATAGCCTGCCTATAGCTACACTATTAACCATGCTCTTATTAGAGAAACCAAAGAGCAACAGAAAAAAGACAGAAAGAAAAGTCATACTTGAGGAAAGACATAAAAAGAGTCAGATCACCAAAGTAAAAGCCCATCCAGAATAAATTCTCTGTGTTTCTCTACTTCTGTGCCCATCTATACTAAGCTAGTAATTGTCCTCTAGTTTGTCAGTTCCTGATAGAAAAGACATACTCCATGCCAATCTAGTTGGTCAGTTCCTGATAGTAAACAGAGTTGACGGGGAAAGTAAAAGCCCACCGTCAGAATAAAAGGACGTGTATTTCTTTGCTTCCATGCCAATCTATTCTAAGCTAGTTGTCGTTCTCTGGTTGGTCAGTTCCTGAGAGAAAAGATATAAAAAGATTCGACCACCAACGTAAAAGCCTGTCATCAGAATAAAGCCCGTGCTTTCTCTGCTTCTGTGTCCACCTATGCTAAGCTAGTTGTCGCCTTCTAATTGGTCAGCTGAGAGGAAAGATACATTTAGTCTTGTTGGTAAAAGCTGCAATAATAAGACTTGTGTTAGCTATTACCGTATCCAAGGGTGGAGTTTGAGATAGCTAGATATATAGAATATGTTTTTGCATGGTGTTCTTGAAGAGAAGGTCTACATGAAACAACCATCAGAGTATGCAGACAAGAAAAAACTGCATTATATGTGCAAGCTTGACAAAGTGCTCTATGTCTTGAAACAAGCACCTAGAGCATGGTACTCCAGATTAAGCTCCTAGTTAAGAGGTCTTGGCTTCATTGCATCCAAAGTGACACATCTTTGTTTATTTACAACAAGGCAAAAGTAGTCATCTTCGTGCTTATATATATATATTGATGATATTATAGTTCCAAGCTCTTCACAAAGTGCTACTAATGCTCTTCTGCATGATTTGATCTTAGAATTTGATCTGAAGGATCTAAGTGATTTGCACTTCTTCCTAGGCATTGAAGTCAAGAAAGCACAAGATAGCATAGTGTTGAATAAGGAAAAATATGCCACTAAGCTTCTAGCTTGTATGAGAATAAAGAACTGCGAACCTGCAACTACACCTATCTTCCTCATAAACACTCTCAACTTATGAAGGAGAGACACTTCATGAGGAAGAAGGCAGAAGGTATAGAAGTGTTGTGGGAGCACTCCAGTATTTGACTCTCACATGCCCACATATCTCATTTGCGGTTAACAAAGTTTGTCAATATTTGCATGCACCCACCATTCTACATTGGACATTTGTTAAGAGGATTGTGAGATATGTAAAACATACTGTGAGATTAAGACACAATTTTAGACGTTCTAACCCCACTCTTGTCAGTGCATTTACTGATGCTGATTGGGCAGGTTGCAGTGATGACAGAAAGTCAACTTTAGAGTATTTTTTGGTTCTAATCTTGTTTCTTGGAGTGCCAGACAACAAGCCACTATGTCCAGGTCAACTATAGAAGCTGAGTATAAGTCTTTGGAAAATTCCAGTGCGGAAATCATTTGGGTTGAGTCACTACTCGAAGAGTTGGGAGTAAAACAAAACCATATCTCATGTTCATGGTGTGATAATTTAGGAGCAACATATCTGTCTGCAAATCCAGTCTTTCATGCTAGAACCAAACACGTTGAAATTGATTTTCATTTTGTGCGAGAAATAGTTGCAGAAAAGGAACTTAAGATATGGTTCATTCCTTCTAGAGATCAAGTGGCTGATGGCTTCACCAAGGCATTACCAGCAAAACAATTTGAGGAGTTTAAGAGCAATCTTAACTTACGATAGTTGAGATTAAGGGAGGGACGATATCTTTCTGTTGCAATCTTAATAACATCCTCGCCATCGCTGGCACTTTCACCACCACCATCTTCTGCATACCTATCCCATGCCGGTAATCCAATCCTGCTCGACACTAATCCACAACAGTATCATGCCTTCTTCTACTGGAATGTGACGTCGTTAGTGGCCTCCGCCGTGGTCATCATGTTGGCATTGCAGTACACCTTGAAGGAGCGCTTTGCTCCATTGTAGACATCGTGTAAGAGAAGGCCGAGGAGCTCACGACGTGGAAGTACTTTTCTGGTGTAAGGGCATATTTATTCCCAATATGTTTTGGTGATTGATGACAATGCTTGTGCGGACTAATCGTGTGCGTTAGTTCTTTCAGAGATTCATCCATTGGCACGAGACGATTTCCTCCCCTCGGTGTTGTAATTCAAGACGGTGTAGCTCCTTCGTTTCGTTGTTGGTGGACTAGTTTCGTAGGAGTCACCGTACTATCCAGAGGGGATCCGTTTTGGTAAGACTTGGGTGGAATCACACGTACACATCATTATCACACCCGTCATCTTTCCTTCCGCATCTCTGGAGCTGCTGTTTTCCCCTTATTATGCTCTGCTTTGCCCTAGCGGTAGTACCGTGTCCACTGCGGTAGTACCGCCGAAAACTCCACAGCGGTAGTACCGCTCTCGGAGCGGTAGTACCGCTCTCAGAGCGGTAGTACCGCTTGGGTGTTTCGGCCGTAGTACCGCTGTGCGTCTGGGCTACTTCCGCCTCGATTCTCGAACGAATTTTTTGTGTCGGGTTTTGCGGCACTAAGGGAGGTAGTAGGGGAGGTAGTACCGCTCTAAGCGGTAGTACCGCCCTTCCCTAGCAGTAGTACCGCCCTGGCGACAGGGCCCTGGGCAGCGGGGCTGTACCGCTGGGTCTAAGCGGTAGTACCGTCCTGAGCGGTAGTACCGCTCTTCCCTAGCCGTAGTACCACCCTGGAGTCAGGGCCCCAGGCAGCGCGGCAGTACCGCTGGGTGGAGCGGTAGTACCGCCCGGAGCGGTAGTACCGCCCTTCCCCAGCGGTAGTACCGCTCTGTGCGGGGCTGGTAAGTGGGATAGTGGTTGGATTGTTCTTCCCACTATATAAAGGGGTCTTCTTCCCCAAAGTTGATTTACCTCTTTCCCCCAAAGCTCCATTGTTGCTCCAAGCTCCATTTTCGCCCGATCTCTCTCCCTAGCCAATCAAACTTGTTGATTTGCTCGGGATTGGTTGAGAAGGCCCAGATCTACACTTCCACCAAGAGAAATTTGATTCCCCCCACTTATCCCTAGCGGATCTTGTTACTCTTGGGTGTTGAGCACCCTAGACGGTTGAGGTCACCTCGAAGACATACTCCATTGTGGTGAAGCTTCATGGTGTTGTTGGGAGCCTCCAATTGTTGTGGAGATTGCCCCAATCTTGTTTGTAAAGGTCCGGTTGCCGCCTTCAAGGGCTCCAATAGTGGAATCACGGCATCTCGCATTGTGTGAGGGCGTGAGGAGATTACGGGGGCCCTAGTGGCTTCTTGGGGAGCATTGTGCCTCCACAACGCTCTAACGGAGACGTACTTCCCCTTAAAAGGAAGGAACTTCGATAACACATCCTCGTCTCCACCGGCTCCACTCTTGGTTATCTTGTCCCTTTACTTTTGCAAGCTTACTTGAGTTATATCCATTGCTTGCTTGCGTGCTTATTGTCTGTGCATCATATAGGTTGTCCACATAGTTGCACATCTAGACAACCTATTTCATTGCAAGTTTTAATTTGTTAAAGAAAATACTAAAAATTGTTAGCTGCCTATTCACCCCCCCTCTAGTCAACCATATCGATCCTTTCAATTGGTATCAGAGCCTCGTCTCTTTATTAAGGACTTTGCCGTCCGAAGAGTATGGTTGACACCAACGACGGTGTGGAGGAGCACTCCGGTGTGAATCCCGTCTCGTCTTCAGCCGAAGGGGGAACCTCAGTCTCTCGTGAGGAATTCAATGTGGCTTTAGACACATTGAAAACCTCCATGACGGCCGAGGTTAAAAGCATGTTTACTGAATTCCTAGAGGGACTCAAACTATCTACCTCGCCGATGAAAGTGGGTGATCCCACTAACAAGGTGACGGATGCTAACCCTGACAAGGGGGAAGCTAATAGTGAAAAGAGTCCGTCTACTAGTGGTAGAAATGGCACCGGCATTTATGCCCATGTGGAACCCCCAGTGTATAAAGGACCGATCCCCTCTACACATTTGAATCATGCCGGTCCTCCTCCTAAATATGTGAAAAATGAAGATTATGATTCTTGGGTTTATCGCTTCAAGCGTCACTTAAAACATGTGAATACTAACCTTTGGAGAATTATTGAAGAAGGTTTCTATCCTCATGATCCAAGCAACTTCACCCCTCGAGAAGAAGTGGACAACCAATTCAATGAGAGTGCTCTCTTCATCATCCAAGATGTTATTCTTCCCGAAGATCTCCCTCATCTTCGACCTCATGTCATGGCTAAAGAAGCATGGAAGTGTGTCGAGCGTATGTATCGAGGAAGTGCTAGCATTCAACGCTCCAACTATGAAGTGGTGCAAGATGAAGCCGATGAGTTTGCATTGAAAGGATCGATATGGTTGACTAGAGGGGGGGTGAATAGGCAACTAACAATTTTTAGTCTTTTCTTTAACAAATTAAAACTTGCAATGAAATAGGTTGTCTAGATGTGCAACTACGTGGACAACCTATATGATGCACAGACAATAAGCACGCAAGCAAGCAATGGATATAACTCAAGTAAGCTTGCAAAAGTAAAGGGACAAGATAACCAAGAGTGGAGCCGGTGGAGACGAGGATGTGTTACCGAAGTTCCTTCCTTTTAAGGGGAAGTACGTCTCCGTTAGAGCGGTGTGGAGGAACAATGCTCCCCAAGAAGCCACTAGGGCCACCGTAATCTCCTCACACCCTCACACAATGCGAGATGTCGTGATTCCACTATTGGAGCCCTTGAAGGCGGCAACTGGACCTTTACAAACAAGAT